AAATGCTTTCCAATCCCTTCACACAAAACACTTGCATTTTGTGACAAAAAACACTGCATTTTGTCTAAACTTTGACAAAAATCACGAATTTCACACAATCTACTTAATTCACTTTTCATATCTGTATCAACATTTCTCAGTTTATTGAAATATAAACACAATTACTTTTAAAAATAAAAGCCGGACTGTTAAGTTGTGAGATATAACTTAAAATAAATGTGTGAATAACTTAAAGTAAACTTTATACAGAAATCTAATTTCCTTTCAAAATAAATGCTTTTATCTGTGATATAGACTAATCTCTAAATCATCTCCAGATGTGTCCATGTATTCAACGGTCCACCCATTTATGACTTCCTAATTTTGAGATGAATACCATATTTTTTTCATTAAATCCTTGATTTTATATATTATATTTATTTCTATATTTTCATTTAGCAAACTAAATATTTAGTCTTATAAATAAACACATATATTAATTTATGAATTTTATCTCAACATAACTAATACTTAACTTTATGAATATTTTTAAATTTAATATTACCTTACTCTAACATATGTATAATATGTTAGATAACAAATTAATTAGATTAATTGTAGGCTATTTTATAATTAATTTATAATTTATAATTAATTAACATGGGAATAAATTTCTCGAACATATAAATGTACATTATTAACAAACAAATTTCGTTTTTATAAATCATCATGTTCATCATATCAGAAATTGTACTGACACTCGAGGTCAACTAAATCGGCGCTTAATTGCCATAAATCACGGGCAGTCTTATCATTAAATGCCTGACCAGTCATACAGTCCACGCGCCCGCAGTTACTATAAATACAAATAAACATAAATTTAGCTTGATCATCGTAAAAATAGTAAATGACCCTCTAATTAAATTTTAATTGTACAAATTACATACTCATAAAAATGACCTGACTCACTCGCGAGTGCATCATCGAGGGCACAGTGTAAGTAGGGTTGCGGCCCCATATCAGCCGGCAACATGAACAAGGTCTTAAAATATCTGAACAGTATATTAGCAGATATATCAGAATCTGCCCTTGGTCTACTATCTATAATTCCCGGGTTAATTGAGTACGTTTTAACATTGCTGATTCCGGAAGATTTTAATCGTTTAGCTAGCTCTTTGGCAAATAACACCATGGCCAGTTTAGTATGAATGTGCGCGCGGGCCGCAGTATAACCATTGTTTGGCAAATGAAAAGTGCGTAAATTGATCCTGCTAAAATATAATGTGATTCCGTTTGTTGTGCCCATTATTATCCGGGAATCGTTTGATTTTCTCATTAATGGCAATAAGTGTAGTGTTAGTAGAAAATGGCCTAAAATTGTGTCAAAAATAAAAACAACAATAATTTATAAAATTTAATAAAATTAAATGTTCAATACGATATTAATTAAACTTATAAAAATATGTAACCTAACTTTTTATATATTGAGCAATGATAAACTGTTAACTAGTTATTAGTTTAAAAACATAAAATCTTTTATGAAATTATTAAACTAATTTAATTATAATCTTTTGAAACAATATTTAATATTATTAATACTCGGATTACTATTAATATTTATAAATATAAATCTAATTAAATTATTCAAGTAAAATATTTAATTATGTAAGCAATTTTAAAACAAAATTAAATAAACTATTAATTGTCAAATGAATATAAATTTAAAATTCATATAAATATCACAAACTATTAAAAACTTATATAAACTTCAAATAAAACTTTTCAAAACTATTAAATAAAATACGCGACAATAGATGTCTCTACAAACACGTCCTACCCATACAATACCTAAATAGTTAGTCCGAAACTGAGTGTAGGGGTCGGCGTAGGGCCGGGCGGCGCCGTTATTGATGAGTACGTCGACTATGGGCTCGATTTCCGCCACCCGTTTGGCGAACTCGCGGACCGACTCGAGTGACGCCAAGTCCAGCGCCAGTGCCGTCACATCTGTCCCGGGGTTACGGCGTTTCAGTTCACTCACCGCCCGCTCGTTAGTCACGGTATTCCGGGAACCGATGATTATTCTCTTGAATATAATAAGTATTTAAAAATTTTCAATTAATACCCTTTTAATAGTATTTAACTTAATTATTTAGATCTCTCTCTCTCTCTCTCTCTCTCTCTCTCTCTCTCT